CTGCTTATAGCTGATAAATGTACTATTATCTACGTGGACAGCTAGTGCTGGAACAAGCACATAAAGCCCATCTTTTCCAAAGCAAATCTGATATAAAATGACCAGTTTTGTCTCTCTTTCCAGTGCTAAGTAACAGTGGTTCTTTTATGATGGGACATGAATCTCTGCAAAAGTGCTAGACTTAGAACTCATAACTCTGTGATGTTTAGGCTTCTTGTTTATTTTTTTGTGCCTACAAAGCTAAATAAGTTTTTAACATAAACTAGGCACATTCTTTTGTACTCAATCGTATTCTGTTTTTTCTGAGATCAGGTTGTTTCCTGCCTGTGTATTGTTCTCCAAATCTACCAACAATTAAGACTAGAATCCTATTTGTGGGTTCTCCTGCTGAGCATCTGGGAGCTCCTAACTGGTACACCAATGTTTAAATTAATTATGCTGACAGAAGGAAAAGCTAAAATAGATGGCAAATAGCAACTCTTTCTCCAAACAGCTGGTTCTGCCTTCTATAGTCCTCAGGATACCCATAATGGGAAGTTAAAATCTCTCCCCAATATACTTAGGGAAACGTATATCATGCCCCCTTAAGAACACATACAGATCTTGTTTCTAAAAAAAACCCAATACAAAACAAAACAACTGAGTGTTTTTATTTTCTTCACAGTTCCAGTCTGTTACGTGTCAGTGGCCCAACTGGAAACAATACTGACCTTTAACTAGCAGGTAACATTCAGTAGGTATGTATAGAACACTCAGAAAGGTTTTCCAAAGGGTTTTGAAATGTTTTTGCTTTTACACTGATTTTGGTGGTGATTCAATTTCACAGCGTAAATGCTGTTCTTTCTTCTATCACCTTGTACTTTAAAAGATGAACTCAATAACCACAGAAGGACTTTGCTAGCACCATGAAAATAATAAAAGAAAAAAGAATGACATTACTTACTTTGGGTCCACGTGGCCCTCTATATCCTGTTACCCCAGGTAGTCCTTTTTGGCCCTACAGATACAAGGGAAGTATTTGTGTATATTAATATGCAGGACATGCCTATGTGCTGTTTAACTTTTTTAAGTCCTGTTCTGAATTACAACTGTTAAGTAGCATTTGCTTAAGTACTGGGCCTGTTCCTCTAGATGCAGCAGGTAGAAGACGACAATTATGTACTGATGTTTATTTCTTTTAACACTGTGAAACCAGCATAAGGACTGTAGAGTGAGATAGATTTATTGTTTCCCTTGCACAGACCTGCTCATCAGGTCCCTGATTAGCTCTGCTAATCAGAGTTTTGTTCCTGCAAACATGCATGACAGCATTTCTCTTTTTTTGTTTGCTTCTCTATTTAGTTTGCTGCAAGCATTCGCATGCATGAACCTGCAGTGCACAGCCCCAGACTGAATGGGATGCATGGCTGGCTGCGTAGCCACCATCATGTCACGTCTTGCACTGCAGCCCGTGTCACGCTTTGCACTAACACAGGGAGTTTATAGAAGTTATTTTGGTCCCTTCCCCCTTCCTCATACACGCATACATGACCAGCATGTGCATAATCAAAGCCTAAGATTCAATATGTGAAATTTATCAGTTCCTTGAGTTGAGACTGCAAGAGCTGGCAATGCCAATTCACTTTTTCATTTGTGTGTTTGTGCAAATCGGACATGAGGACAGAGCTCCAACATAGGGTTCTGTAATGCAGTTTTTTAACTCCTGTTCTTTTTAAACAAACTTTCCAGTGTTTTAAGGCACACACAAGTGTGGCTACAGTAGGTGTGATACTGAAGAAGTAGCATAAATAACAGGAACTTTCATTAAAAATAGACAATTAAATCACACTTAATTTTCATATTAAAAGAGAACCCTAGAAAGGTTAGGGTTGATAGTTCAGAACATTACAATGGAGAAATCTCAGAGAGAATAATTGCCAAATATCTGAAAAATTTAAGTGCTAGTGAAGAGCCACAAAAGATTCAATACCAGAGTAACCATCTTCACCTGAGATGCCCAAAATAGGATTTGCTAGCAACAGAAAGTGAAGAAAACCAAAACAAGGGCAGTATCTCCTTTCTGCATCAAGACAGTCTTCCTTTAAGGACATGACCTGAAGTACACATGGGCTGTCCTCTCCTGAAAGCCTATAGGAAGTGTGCTGAACAACAGGGTTTCTGCTGAAGCTGATGGTTTATTACAGAAAGAAAGACTTTTCCTACACTACCCTTGCAAAAATTACATAATAGGATTGTAATTGCCAAGTTGAGCACAGTAAAATATGAAGAGAAATGAACACCTTGTCTCCTTTGAACAGCTGAGCTCCAGGAGGTCCAACTAGCAGTGGTGACCCAGGTGGCCCAGGAAGTCCAACATCACCCTGTGGAAGCCAAAGGAACAGCAAAGGGGCATTCTGTTCAGTGCAACCTTTCAGTGAGACTCACCAGGTTTTCCTCTTGTACTACAGTACTATGTATTTCTGTACTCATTGAACATGTACTAACACCTGTAGGTAATAAATGTTTGTACTGAGCTCAGTAAGCCTCTCTAGCTTCTTCCCAGATGAGCAAGGTTGATGATCTTAATCCCTCCTCCTATTCTCCTCAGTCACTAAAAATAATGTTTTGGTAAGGGAAAAAAATGAGGACTCTGTACTAATGGCTCCTCCTCTGAGTCTGCTGTGGAGACAGTTACAGTATTGTCAAATTTCTTTTGTGTCCATACAGCCTCTTGTGTTTCAGACCAGAGTCTTAGAGCACAAGGCTTTGTAAATGCAAAGATGAAATTACTGATTTGTTATGGAAAGTTGTGCATGTTAGTAACTTGCACAAAGTCTGAGTGACTGGATGAATTCAAAATCCATTATGTCACATTAGTTCTTTAAGTCCTGAGTGTGCTAACAGGGGGAGAGTGGGAGCAGAACTGCAATTATGTGACTGTCCTTTTCTTTCACCCTTTACTTGGCACCTGTTTCTGGACACAGCAAGAGATGAAATTCAGTGACTGATCTGGTACAGCCACTGTTACTGGAAGGTACTGTTGTGATTATTTAGGCAGTGTCTGTACAGAAGGTAATTGCTGTGTAAATGCTAACTAACATATTGATTTGTTGCTTTTCAAAACCTTAGAATACACTTGATTCCTGTATACATCTCACTGATTCAGCACAGAATTAATTTATTCAAAACTTTATATCACTTCTCTTTCCAGTCTAACCTGATTAGTGGGAGCACACAGCCACAAATGAGAGGGATTCCAGGGAACCCAACAATGCTCTCTTACAGTTCTAATTCTACAGCAAGAATATATTTAATAATAGTTGTTTTCTGTAGCAAGATTTGTTTTCTTACCGGCTCCCCCTTTTGTCCATCCACTCCAATACCTGGATTTCCCTAATTGACAAAAAAATATACAAGTTGGAACATAACTGGGAAATGTTGGCATTAGAATTTAATAAATAACTCCTTGGTGATGAATAACTGTTAGAGACACTTGAAATATTTGTATAAATTACTCTCTTATTTCACTAACAACTTCAGGAAAAGTCATTGCCTACCTGTTCACCTGGCAAACCAGGGTAACCTGGAATACCCTTTAAAAGAGAAGGAAGATAAGTTAGTATGTCTGATTTAGAGACAGCTTTGCTTTGAAAATTACCTCCTCTTGCCAGTAGCACCTACAGGCAGAATTTCCTCTTGGAATGTACCAATCCCAAAGTGCAATTTAATTCACTTGGTCACTGCTGTCAGGAGAGCTGAACTCTGGCTTCCCACTTTCCTGTGTGCCACAAGATGTCTTTGTGGAAATGGAATAAGGAGAGAGTACTAGCAGCATTCC